AATGTAGAGGAACAAGGTTTTAGGAAGGGTAGAGGATGTATAGACATTGAAGTGAGCAGTATGTGGATAAAAATAAGGAACTTTTCATTGCATTTTTGGATTTAGGGGTAGAAATTTCCCTAGGGACAGTTTGAGGGAGTAAAGGAGGCTTTGTATGCGAGGGGCTTGAACATGCAACAGGCTTGTGCAAGCATGTTAGAAAGGAGTGGAGGCAAGTGATTTTTAAAACTCGACTTGTTATTGAAGTGTGAGCAAGGTAACATTTATGAAGGGATTCAGGGAAAACCAGTTAGCCATATTTGAGTCTTGGAGGCGGAAAGTACAGTGCCTGCACTCTGGAGGAGTGGTGGGGATGTTGCAGTTTGGAGGGATATTTGAACTGTAATGTTGGTGCACCTCTGGCTAGACAGTGATAGCAAGTGAAGATGAAAATGCTTTATCTTGTTCGTGTCACCGTACCTCGATTGCAGATGGCCGGATAGTTTCTGAATGAAAATCAATGTCACTATTATTTAAATAAATGCCACAGATTCCAACTATTCCAAGTATTTTGTATTATTTTACTAATGTTTACAAATCTGCCTGCAGCACCAACGAATTTTAATAGACACTATCCTGGCCATTAGATACATCTGGCGTTAAATATTGAAGCCATTCAGAAGAGACTAAAATTTATTGACCATGAATTAACGAGAATAAGAATTTCACACTTTTTTTTTTTTACACAGAAAATGCCCGCCTGCACTTGACTGTCACTCTGCCACGGTCCATCTAGGAGCCACCTTTTTCTGAACATTGAAATTTACAATTCTCAGGGTTTGGAAAATTACCGAGCCGTTTGAGAATGCTGGGAAGGGATTCAACAGCTTTGGCCATAGGGCACGTGTACGTAAATGTTTCGAGAATCTTGCACTAAATTCCGTACACCAGCGCTGAGAGTTTGAAGCTGATCGAAGGAAGCCTTCTTGAGTTATGAGCTAAATAATAATAAAAAATTGGAGGAAGAAAAATAATCTGGCACTCTCCCGCTTGGGGATGCATAATTGTTTCATGTATTACAAAAATAAATACATGAGAAATTCAGTCAAGTACAAGGAACTGAACACTGTACATGTCAGTTACATCAACGTTGCTGAATGAAGGTTCAAGGAAAAATTAAAAAAAAAGGGTTTGTATAATTATATAAATAAATGCTTGAATGATGAATGTGTACATTTACGTTTTGCAGTTGATATATTGCATTAACAGAATCCGTCAAAATTAAAATATAGAATTGTATAAATAATGATTAGAATAATAAATATGTGGATACAATAATGTGAAGTTAAATATTACATAAGACGTTTAAGTTTGCAGTAAGAAATAAACTGAAAGTTACATAAAAAGATCGAAATACAAAAGATACAAAATACCAGAAATAAGAATAAGTTTATAGATACTAAAATAAATTACAAAAGTTACATGGAAAACATCCAAGCACAAACAACTCCTCACATTACCGATAACTAGAAAAAACCAGGCTTGTGGAGACATGCTAGTTGAATCTCCTAGACAAGGAGGTTACTCAGTTAACTCACCTCCAGCTGTTACTGAGAAGCCCAGGTCAACGCTGAGGGGATCATCATACCTGGAGTTTACCTGGAGAGAGTTCCGGGGGTCAACGCCCCCGCGGCCCGGTCTGTGACCAGGCCTAATGGTGAGTCAAAGCCTGATCAACCAGGCTGTTACTGCTGGTTGCGCGAAGTCCAACGTACGAGCCACAACCTGGCTGGTCAGGTACCGACTTTAGGTGCTTGTCCAGTGCCAGCTTGAAGACAGCCAGGGGTCTATTGGTAATCCCCCTTATGTATGCTGGGAGGCAGTTGAACAGTCTTGGGTCCCTGACACTTGTGTTGTCTCTTAACGTGCTAGTGACACCCCTGCTTTTCATTGGGGGGATGTTGCATCGTCTGCCGAGTCTTTTGCTTTCGTAGTGAGTGATTTTCGTGAGCAAGTTCGGTACTAGTCCCTCTAGGATTTTCCAGGTGTATATAATCATGTATCTCTCCCGCCTGCGTTCCAGGGAGTACAGGTTCAGGAACCTCAACGCTCCAGTAATTGAGGTGTTTTATCTCCGTTATGCGTGCCGTGAAGGTTCTTGTACATTTTCTAGGTCAGCAATTTCACTGCCTTGAAAGGTGCTGTTAGTGTGCAGCAATATTCCAGTCTAGATAGAACCTGTGTTACGTACCGACGATAAACGGCAGTTTAGTACACGGAAGATTTGTTTGGCTCGATACGCCTTTATATTACATAAATCTAGTTATTTATTCAGTGAATTTCCGTCTTATATATATATATATATATATATATATATATATATATATATATATATATATATATTATATATATATATATATATATATATATATATATATATATATATATATATTAAATATAGGGAAGTACCACCTCTATGGCTGGAATGGGGACCCTCATCCTCAGAGAAGACAATAAACCTACCTTAGGGAAAACTCAAGGTTCTCCCCGGAGCTGTTTGAATATTTTCTTCTCCTACCACCCCCTATATTTGATATTCTATGTGAACATTTATTAATAAACAGAATACATTTACAGAAAAACATAAACATGAATACAATGGCACAATGTATCAAAGATTATGAATTTCCTCCAGCTCCTCTGAGACTGGACGCGAGCCAAGTATGCAGTAAGCATTTCCCCTCTGGATGGCTACGCTGAGGTGCTGGAACATGAAAGTGGCTGCCCTTGGGTCCCTGGTGGTGTCGATGAGTCTGGAACCCAATTCTTTAATTAAACGTGTGGCATTTTTTCCCCATGATCCCAAGGTCTCTGATCCCACTGGGACAAATTTATACTGTTGGCTTATGTCCCTGTACTTGCTGATCTTGTACTCCTCCCTGTGGTCAGCAGCTCCTCCCTGTCGCCCCACACTGTGAGGGATATAGGTGTCAGCCAGTGTGGACACACAGGTATAGTCCCATGCTAAGAGCTTGCCATTCTTCCAAGGATAGATGGTGATCCCATTGGGGTGGTTTGCTGGGTTGTGGGTATTGTTGGCTGCTAGTGATCGGGGCTCCCTCTCGGCTGGGCATCCAGCTGTAGCAAGGGTTCTCTTAATGATGTCATTGACCTCAGTGTGTCTTGCATGCCAGCCCTTGGTTTTGGAACAGTTAAGACCATGTAGACCGTATTGGTCTGCTTGCGCTTTGCCGCAAATATACGTATATTCTGTGTGAATTGGGGCAGCAAGGCGCAGAGCCACTGCAATACGGAGGGTCTTAGGGTCGAGTCGCGTTCCCATTGCCGATATGGGAACTGTTTGGAGGAAGTCCCCGGAGTGATGTGCACTCACAGCCTGGAGATGGGCAATCTCCCTATCTGATGTTGCAGCCCTGAGCATGTTGGCAAGCACCTTTTCAGCGATCGGGCTGTCCCAGCTTGACTGTGAGCCAGTGCTGCACTAGGGTTTGGTGCTGGAGCAGCAAGAGTCTCCCATTCAGTGATAGCACTGGCATAGCTATGGTCTTCTATTCCTGCTGAGTCACTGAGGGTATCAGGAAGAATTTGTCTTATCAACTCGTTTGATGCTATGGAAGAGGATAGGAAAGCTGGTAGAACAATCTAGGAGGATCTGCGTACTCCTAGCCCTCCAAGCCTGACCGGAAGTGAGGCTTGCAACCACTGTCCATCTTCAAGGGAAAGATTCAATACACTCTCTAGCATGGTCTTAAGGAGAGAGTCATATTCCTTGAGTTTTGGACTGCTGAAGGCTGGGGAGCATCTCAGAAAGTAGGTAAGTTTTGGGATTGACAGGCACCTGGTGAGTAGGTAGAAGGCATCGTGTGTCAATGTCTTTCATCCTGCTTTCCATCGTCCGGAGGTCTGAGACTTTTTTTTCTAGGATCAGATCGATGGCATTGGACCCAAGAGGAGCACCAAGGAGAGTGCTATTGGCTGGATCAACGGCTCGTGCTCCTGGTAAAACGGCACTAATATTCTGGATCATCTGTTGATTGGTAGAAACTATTTCACATTTGGTGGGGTTTAAAGATAGGCCCAGGCTTTCTCCCATGTCTGTAATTTTACTGATGTCCTCTAGGAGAGATTCTGTTGTGCCAGCTAGGGTACCATCGTCCAGGAACCAGATATTGAGCTCGCTGGAGAGTGCTTCCGTGACTTCCTTGATAACCAAACAGAATAGAAAAGGGGGCAAGAGGGTCCCCCTGTTGCACGCCCTCAGGGCAAATTTAAAATTATGATGTTTTGAATTTAAACCGCCGAAGACTATGGGGATCTTTCTAATGGACTTAAATATAAGAAGGTATCTGGCAAAGAAATTGCAGTTTAATTTACAATGGACCATCTAAATATTTTGTTCGTTTAAGGAAATATATGTATCAGTGAGCATGAGGCCTCAATGATGCAGTCCAACATTATCATGATGGTTGTAGGCATAGTTGTTAAATATGTACAATCTTTCACTGTAGGCTTCAGTAATTGCTTAGTTCACTCATGCTGAAACCATAATCAATAAATATTTATAATGGAGAAATACTTGTAAATTCTTATGAGACTTTTAAAAATTTTGCAATAAAAGGAAAAGCTTAATTAAGACCAAAAACTTTCTTGGCTGATAATATAACCAAGCAAAAACTCATAAATTGCATAGAATTAAAAGAATGTTTAAATGTGCCTGACTTAACACTGTTAGGTTAACATTGTTGAATTATAGTCTTCTGTTATTCCTTCATTGTTTCACACTCCATAAAAAGTATTTTATTTACAATAGTAATATCAATTATACAATTTTTCCTGGTAGGAAAATTTTTTGTCAGCTATATCCAACTAAGAGGGAGAGTTGAGGCTGTTTATAGTATCTGAGATAAAGTTCTTAGGGATCCTTATGATGATTACTAGGCTGTGTTGAGACGGCTGTTGATGGTAGTGAGGCCGAGGTGGTGGCCCTATTTGCTTCGGAATTTAATCGCCTCCTTTTCCTTGAGTGTTTCTTGACTGCCGGCATGGCGACTCTTAAAGAACGACCACATACGGTGATAGACCCCACCACAGACTGGATTAACCATCCCTGCTGTATCCTTAGGGTTCACTGCACCTGGAGTCATTCAAGGATAATGAATGAAATATATTAATTTTAACAAGAAGAAATAGACGCTGTTGGGAATATATTTTTATCCTTGGAGAATTAACAACGCGCGGTGATCTAAAGAATGCCAAGCATCGCAACTTCCTTCCAATGGATCCCTGAGTCCTCTATACTGCGACCCACAACAATAGACTCAGTATTAGGTATCTGTTTACTGTTAAGTGAAATGAGGCAACAGATGTAAGGTTTAGTTGCTGAGTTTTCAACCTTGCGACTGCACACTGATAATAATGGTGTAATTTATCTCCATATATACATAAAGGTTTAGTACTTGTTTTTAATAATAATAATCATGAGTACCTCAACCTCTAAAACAGAAGTATGTAAAACAAGCACGTAAAACTAAAGTACGTCTTTGCGTGACAAGGCCTTGCATATAATTTCATCAAAATAGCCAAAGTTTTGCATATGATAATGTCTATGTTTTTGACCAGGCACATTTCATGTTAATCATGTTTTGTTTGTGAAGGCTGAAAAACAAAATGCAATTTATTCACCTCGTTAACACGAGGTAAATAACCTGTCTTCGAAATCTTTTGTCATGTATCCTTGATTTTTTTTATGGGGGTGGAAAAGTTACAGTCAAATATTACGATGTGATATATATTTGTTTTTACTTTGTGGCTGTGTTAATCCGGTGGAGGGCCTCGTTCAAATGACCAAGGTTCTCCATTGATTGAATCTCATCAGTGGATCACATTATGACCCAAATATTATACCACCATCTATGACTTAGCTTAAAAAATACTCTAACAATTGGTCTCACCAGTACAGAGGGAGACGAAGCTGCTGACTATGTATGTCAGTGCGATGCCAGTCACGCCTGAGTAGCAATAGGACAGCTCGTAGAGAGTTCTCTCTGTGGACCTGTGGAGATGTGTATTCGGCCATTAATTTGCATCTTTTCTACGCCTCAATGTTTTTTTTTTTTAAATTCAAATGCACAAGAGTAAGATCCGATAAAATTTGTGAAACATATCTATAGTTTAATTATCAAATTATTAGCCCAATCAATCATTTTTTGTTCTGATATGTAACCTTTTCATTTGGGAAGACATAATGAAAATAATAATTTCTAATAATTCTGAAGGGAAGTTTAATGAAATATGTATGGCCTAAAGTGACACTTGATTAGATTCAGCTACAAACATAAATTGTGATTCTGGTAAACTAGAGTTGAGGCGTGTGGGAAGATCTCAGCTCACAGTTACTCGTACGCTATATACCTGTCCGCCAACCTCTCTAATACTCTGCGCCACAGAATATCACATCACATTCTTTTCCGCTATTGTTCTCAAGTTAGAAAATGTGCAAGTAAATTGCTGTGGCAAGCGACAACTTTGAGCTTTATATACCTGAGAAAACGAAAAGGATGTGTACCCTATCTAAATTATGCTCAGACAAGGGTCCCAGTGTTGTAACATTATCAGAGCTGCATAATTTGTATCTTAAACTCTGAAATGAAAGAAGTGTACATCCATTAGCTAAGGTTATGATAAGTGATATAAATCACAAATAAATTATTACACAAGAGTATGTCACTTAGCCTTGAACATAACATAAGTGGCTACTCTTACTATTATCGTTCACTATTGTTACTCTACCTAAAGTCTATGGAATAGCAAGGGTAGGAGCTATGGAAACCATGTGACTGCATTAGTAGAGAAGGTCCCACTATGGATATTTCCACCATGGCTAGCTCCATTTCCACGGATCAGTTTTTTCCCAAAATCAAAATAATTTTTTTCCAAGGAGTTTATCTTCATTTCATTTCCCTCATATTATTTTTTTGCCACGTTTTTTGCAAATGTGAAAGTTAAATTTTTTCAGTGATCACCTTGACAATGAAATATGGATCCCGGGATATAACCTATACAGACGCGACAGTGTGAACAGGCAAAAGGGATGGAGGGTGTTGGCCTGTACGCCACAAACAACTCCTCACATTACCGATAACTAGAAAAAACCAGGCTTGTGGAGACATGCTAGTTGAATCTCCTAGACAAGGAGGTTACTCAGTTAACTCACCTCCAGCTGTTACTGAGAAGCCCAGGTCAACGCTGAGGGGATCATCATACCTGGAGTTTACCTGGAGAGAGTTCCGGGGGTCAACGCCCCCGCGGCCCGGTCTGTGACCAGGCCTAATGGTGAGTCAAAGCCTGATCAACCAGGCTGTTACTGCTGGTTGCGCGAAGTCCAACGTACGAGCCACAACCTGGCTGGTCAGGTACCGACTTTAGGTGCTTGTCCAGTGCCAGCTTGAAGACAGCCAGGGGTCTATTGGTAATCCCCCTTATGTATGCTGGGAGGCAGTTGAACAGTCTTGGGTCCCTGACACTTGTGTTGTCTCTTAACGTGCTAGTGACACCCCTGCTTTTCATTGGGGGGATGTTGCATCGTCTGCCGAGTCTTTTGCTTTCGTAGTGAGTGATTTTCGTGAGCAAGTTCGGTACTAGTCCCTCTAGGATTTTCCAGGTGTATATAATCATGTATCTCTCCCGCCTGCGTTCCAGGGAGTACAGGTTCAGGAACCTCAAACGCTCCCAGTAATTGAGGTGTTTTATCTCCGTTATGCGTGCCGTGAAGGTTCTCTGTACATTTTCTAGGTCAGCAATTTCACCTGCCTTGAAAGGTGCTGTTAGTGTGCAGCAATATTCCAGTCTAGATAGAACCTGTGTTACGTACCGACGATAAACGGCAGTTTAGTACACGGAAGATTTGTTTGGCTCGATACGCCTTTATATTACATAAATCTAGTTATTTATTCAGTGAATTTCCGTCTTATATATATATATATATATATATATAATATATATATATATATATATAATAATATATATATATATATATATATATATATATATATATATATATATATATATATATATAATATATATATATATATATATATATATATATATATATATTAAATATAGGAAGTACCACCTCTATGGCTGGAATGGGACCCTCATCCTCAGAGAAGACAATAAACCTACCTTAGGGAAAACTCAAGGTTCTCCCCGGAGCTGTTTGAATATTTTCTTCTCCTACCACCCCCTATATTTGATATTCTATGTGAACATTTATAATAAACAGAATACATTTACAGAAAAACATAAACATGAATACAATGGCACAATGTATCAAAGATTATGAATTTCCTCCAGCTCCTCTGAGACTGGACGCGAGCCAAGTATGCAGTAAGCATTTCCCCTCTGGATGGCTACGCTGAGGTGCTGGAACATGAAAGTGGCTGCCCTTGGGTCCCTGGTGGTGTCGATGAGTCTGGAACCCAATTCTTTAATTAAACGTGTGGCATTTTTTCCCCATGATCCCAAGGTCTCTGATCCCACTGGGACAAATTTATACTGTTGGCTTATGTCCCTGTACTTGCTGATCTTGTACTCCTCCCTGTGGTCAGCAGCTCCTCCCTGTCGCCCCACACTGTGAGGGATATAGGTGTCAGCCAGTGTGGACACACAGGTATAGTCCCATGCTAAGAGCTTGCCATTCTTCCAAGGATAGATGGTGATCCCATTGGGGTGGTTTGCTGGGTTGTGGGTATTGTTGGCTGCTAGTGATCGGGGCTCCCTCTCGGCTGGGCATCCAGCTGTAGCAAGGGTTCTCTTAATGATGTCATTGACCTCAGTGTGTCTTGCATGCCAGCCCTTGGTTTTGGAACAGTTAAGACCATGTAGACCGTATTGGTCTGCTTGCGCTTTGCCGCAAATATACGTATATTCTGTGTGAATTGGGGCAGCAAGGCGCAGAGCCACTGCAATACGGAGGGTCTTAGGGTCGAGTCGCGTTCCCATTGCCGATATGGAACTGTTTGGAGGAAGTCCCCGGAGTGATGTGCACTCACAGCCTGGAGATGGGCAATCTCCCTATCTGATGTTGCAGCCCTGAGCATGTTGGCAAGCACCTTTTCAGCGATCGGGCCGTCCCAGCTTGACTGTGAGCCAGTGCTGCACTAGGGTTTGGTGCTGGAGCAGCAAGAGTCTCCCATTCAGTGATAGCACTGGCATAGCTATGGTCTTCTATTCCTGCTGAGTCACTGAGGGTATCAGGAAGAATTTGTCTTATCAACTCGTTTGATGCTATGGAAGAGGATAGGAAAGCTGGTAGAACAATCTAGGAGGATCTGCGTACTCCTAGCCCTCCAAGCCTGACCGGAAGTGAGGCTTGCAACCACTGTCCATCTTCAAGGGAAAGATTCAATACACTCTCTAGCATGGTCTTAAGGAGAGAGTCATATTCCTTGAGTTTTGGACTGCTGAAGGCTGGGGAGCATCTCAGAAAGTAGGTAAGTTTTGGGATTGACAGGCACCTGGTGAGTAGGTAGAAGGCATCGTGTGTCAATGTCTTTCATCCTGCTTTCCATCGTCCGGAGGTCTGAGACTTTTTTTTCTAGGATCAGATCGATGGCATTGGACCCAAGAGGAGCACCAAGGAGAGTGCTATTGGCTGGATCAACGGCTCGTGCTCCTGGTAAAACGGCACTAATATTCTGGATCATCTGTTGATTGGTAGAAACTATTTCACATTTGGTGGGGTTTAAAGATAGGCCCAGGCTTTCTCCCATGTCTGTAATTTTACTGATGTCCTCTAGGAGAGATTCTGTTGTGCCAGCTAGGGTACCATCGTCCAGGAACCAGATATTGAGCTCGCTGGAGAGTGCTTCCGTGACTTCCTTGATAACCAAACAGAATAGAAAAGGGGGCAAGAGGGTCCCCCTGTTGCACGCCCTCAGGGCAAATTTAAAATTATGATGTTTTGAATTTAAACCGCCGAAGACTATGGGGATCTTTCTAATGGACTTAAATATAAGAAGGTATCTGGCAAAGAAATTGCAGTTTAATTTACAATGGACCATCTAAATATTTTGTTCGTTTAAGGAAATATATGTATCAGTGAGCATGAGGCCTCAATGATGCAGTCCAACATTATCATGATGGTTGTAGGCATAGTTGTTAAATATGTACAATCTTTCACTGTAGGCTTCAGTAATTGTCTTAGTTCACTCATGCTGAAACCATAATCAATAAATATTTATAATGGAGAAATACTTGTAAATTCTTATGAGACTTTTTAAAAATTTTGCAATAAAAGGAAAAGCTTAATTAAGACCAAAAACTTTCTTGGCTGATAATATAACCAAGCAAAAACTCATAAATTGCATAGAATTAAAAGAATGTTTAAAATGTGCCTGACTTAACACTGTTAGGTTAACATTGTAATTATAGTCTTCTGTTATTCCTTCATTGTTTCACACTCCATAAAAAGTATTTTATTTACAATAGTAATATCAATTATACAATTTTTCCTGGTAGGAAAATTTTTTGTCAGCTATATCCAACTAAGAGGGAGAGTTGAGGCTGTTTATAGTATCTGAGATAAAGTTCTTAGGATCCTTATGATGATTACTAGGCTGTGTTGAGACGGCTGTTGATGGTAGTGAGGCCGAGGTGGTGGCCCTATTTGCTTCGGACATTTTAATCGCCTCCTTTTCCTTGAGTGTTTCTTGACTGCCGGCATGGCGACTCTTAAAGAACGACCACATACGGTGATAGACCCCACCACAGACTGGATTAACCATCCCTGCTGTATCCTTAGGGTTCACTGCACCTGGAGTCATTCAAGGATAATGAATGAAATATATTAATTTTAACAAGAAGAAATAGACGCTGTTGGGAATATATATTTTATCCTTGGAGAATTAACAACGCGCGGTGATCTAAGAATGCCAAGCATCGCAACTTCCTTCCAATGGGATCCCTGAGTCCTCTATACTGCGACCCACAACAATAGACTCAGTATTAGGTATCTGTTTACTGTTAAGTGAAATGAGGCAACAGATGTAAGGTTTAGTTTGCTGAGTTTTCAACCTTGCGACTGCACACTGATTAATAATGGTGTAATTTATCTCCATATATTACATAAAGGTTTAGTACTTGTTTTTAATAATAATAATCATGAGTACCTCAACCTCTAAAACAGAAGTATGTAAAACAAGCACGTAAAACTAAAGTACGTCTTTGCGTGACAAGGCCTTGCATATAATTTCATCAAAATAGCCAAAGTTTTGCATATGATAATGTCTATGTTTTTGACCAAGGCACATTTCATGTTAATCATGTTTTGTTTGTGAAGGCTGAAAAACAAAATGCAATTTATTCACCTCGTTAACACGAGGTAAATAACCTGTCTTCGAAATATTTTGTCATGTATCCTTGATTTTTTTATGGGGGTGGAAAAGTTACAGTCAAATATTACGATGTGATATATATTTGTTTTTACTTTGTGGCTGTGTTAATCCGGTGGAGGGCCTCGTTCAAATGACCAAGGTCTCCATTGATTGAATCTCATCAGTGGATCACATTATGACCCAAATATTATACCACCATCTATGACTTAGCTTAAAAAATACTCTAACAATGGTCTCACCAGTACAGAGGGAGACGAAGCTGCTGACTATGTATGTCAGTGCGATGCCAGTCACGCCTGAGTAGCAATAGGACAGCTCGTAGAGAGTTCTCTCTGTGGACCTGTGGAGATGTGTATTCGGCCATTAATTTGCATCTTTTCTACGCCTCAATGTTTTTTTTTTTTTAAATTCAAATGCACAAGAGTAAGATCCGATAAAATTTGTGAAACATATCTATAGTTTAATTATCAAATTATTAGCCCAATCAATCATTTTTTGTTCTGATATGTAACCTTTTCATTTGGGAAGACATAATGAAAATAATAATTTCTAATAATTCTGAAGGGAAGTTTAATGAAATATGTATGGCCTAAAGTGACACTTGATTAGATTCAGCTACAACATAAATTGTGATCCTGGTAAACTAGAGTTGAGGCGTGTGGGAAGATCTCAGCTCACAGTTACTCGTACGCTATATACCTGTCCGCCAACCTCTCTAATACTCTGCGCCACAGAATATCACATCACATTCTTTTCCGCTATTGTTCTCAAGTTAGAAAATGTGCAAGTAAATTGCTGTGGCAAGCGACAACTTTGAGCTTTATATACCTGAGAAAACGAAAAGGATGTGTACCCTATCTAAATTATGCTCAGACAAGGGTCCCAGTGTTGTAACATTATCAGAGCTGCATAATTTGTATCTTAAACTCTGAAATGAAAGAAGTGTACATCCATTAGCTAAGGTTATGATAAGTGATATAAATCACAAATAAATTATTACACAAGAGTATGTCACTTAGCCTTGAACATAACATAAGTGGCTACTCTTACTATTATCGTTCACTATTGTTACTCTACCTAAAGTCTATGGAATAGCAAGGGTAGGATGCTATGGAAACCATGTGACTGCATTAGTAGAGAAGGTCCCACTATGGATATTTCCACCATGGCTAGCTCCATTTCCACGGATCAGTTTTTTCCCAAAATCAAAATAATTTTTTTCCAAGGAGTTTATCTTCATTTCATTTCCCTCATATTATTTTTTTGCCACGTTTTTTGCAAATGTGAAAGTTAAATTTTTTCAGTGATCACCTTGACAATGAAATATGGATCCCGGGATATAACCTATACAGACGCGACAGTGTGAACAGGCAAAAGGGATGGAGGGTGTTGGCCTGTACGCCACAGAGTCGCTGATATGCTCGGAGCTTCTAAATACCTCTAATGATGTTTACCTGGAGTTTACCTGGAGAGAGTTCCGGGGGTCAACGCCCCCGCAGCCCGGTCTGTGACCAGGCCTCCTGGTGGATCAGAGCCTGATCAACCAGGCTGTTGCTGCTGGCTGCACGCAAACCAACGTACGAGCCACAGCCCGGCTGGTCAGGAACCGACTTTAGGTGCTTGTCCAGTACCAGCTTGAAGACTGCCAGGGGTCTGTTGGTAATCCCCCTTATGTATGCTGGGAGGCAGTTGAACAGTGTCGGGCCCCTGACACTTATTGTATGGTCTCTTAACGTGCTAGTGACACCCCTGCTTTTCATTGGGGGGATGTTGCATCGTCTGCCAAGTCTTTTGCTTTCGTAGTGAGTGATTTTTGTGTGCAAGTTCGGTACTAGTCCCTCTAGGATTTTCCAGGTGTATATAATCACGTATCTCTCCCGCCTGCATTCCAGGGAATACAGGTTTAGGAACCTCAAGCGCTCCCAGTAATTGAGGTGTTTTATCTCCGTTATGAGCGCCGTGAAGGTTCTCTGTACATTTTCTAGGTCAGCAATTTCACCTGCCTTGAAAGGTGCTGTTAGTGTGCAGCAATATTCCAGCCTAGATAGAACAAGTGACCTGAAGAGTGTCATCATGGGCTTGGCCTCCCTAGTTTTGAAGGTTCTCATTATCCATCCTGTCATTTTTCTAGCAGATGCGATTGATACAATGTTATGGTCCTTGAAGGTGAGATCCTCCGACATGATCACTCCCAGGTCTTTGACGCTGGTGTTTCGCTCTATTTTGTGGCCAGAATTTGTTTTGTACTCTAATGAAGATTTAATTTCCTCGTGTTTACCATATCTGAGTAATTGAAATTTCTCATCGTTGAACTTCATATTGTTTTCTGCAGCCCACTGAAAGATTTGGTTGATGTCCGCCTGGAGCCTTGCAGTGTCTGCAATGGAAGACACTGTCATGCAGATTCGGGTGTCATCTGCAAAGGAAGACACGGTGTTGTGGCTGACATTCTTGTCTATGTCGGATATGAGGATGAGGAACAAGATGGGAGCGAGTACTGTGCCTTGTGGAACAGAGCTTTTCACCGTAGCTAAAGTTTTGGCAGTAAATATCGAGAACCAAATCATGGTCATTATGGTTGTATACAAGCCTCCGGATGCAACTTCCCAACAATTTCAGGAACAGCTTTTGAAAATAGACCACTGTCAGGAAAATCTTTCATCTCCTGCTCCAATCATCTTGCTCCTGGGGGATTTCAACCTAAGGCCCCTAAAGTGGAGGAATGTAGCAAATGATGCAGTAGCAGAGATAACACCAGGAGGCAGCTCAGATGAAAACTCACACGCACACGAGCTTTAAATATCTCTGCACCAAATTCACCTTATACCAGCAAAAAATAGAGCCAACAAGATTGGAGATTACACTGGCCCTCATCTTCACTAACAATGATGATCTGATACGAAATATTACCATATCAAAAACATATACTCAGATCACAACATAATAGAGGTTCAGACATGTATGCTCGGGGCCCCAGACCAAAAACATGTGACCAGTCACGAGGGAGCCTTCACCAAATTCGACTTCAATAACGAAAACATAAGGTGGGACCAAGTCAACCAAGTCCTAAATGATATAAACTGGGAAGATATCTGAAGCAAAACGGATCCAGTCCTATGTCTAGAACAAATTGACTCTTTGGCACTCGAGGTATGCTCAAGGCATATTTCTTTAAGGAAAAGGAAGAGATGTAAACTAGAAAGAGAAAGGCGCTCCCTATACAGGCAAAGGCAAAAAGAAGCCAATAAATCTGTAATACGAAGGGAGGCACTGGTCAGACAAATAGCAAACATCGAACTAAAGCTAAAGGAATCATACAGGAGTCAAGAATCTCGGGAAGAACTAAAAAGTCGTAAATGAAATTGAGAGAAACCCAAAATATTTCTTTTCTTATGCCAAATCAAAGTCGAGAACTATATCCAGTATTGGGCCTCTACTTAAACGAGATGGGTCCTACACAGATGACAGCAAGGAAATGAGTGAGCTACTCAAGTCCCAATATGACTCGGTTTTTAGTGAGCTGTTAACCAGACTGAGAGTCGAAGACCTAAATGAATTTTTTATGACTTCGAAAAGGCGATAAATGATATACCCATGCACTCTGTCCCAGGCCCAGATTCACGTAACTCCGTGTTCATCAAGAACTGCAAGAAGCCCCTATCATGTGCTTTAACAACCTATGGAGAGGGAGCATGGACACAGGGGTCGTCCCACAGCTGCTAAAAGCAACAGACATAGCCCCACTCCACAAAGGGGGAAGTAAAGCAATAGTAAAGAACTACAGACCGATAGCGCTAACATCCGATATCATAAAAATCTTTGAAAGGGTTCTAAGAAGCAAGATCGCCACCCATCTATACACCCATCAATTACACAGCCCAGGGCAACATGGGTTTAAAGCAGGTCGCTCCTGCCTATCCCAACTACTGGACCACTATGAAAAGGTCCTGGATGTTCTAGAAGACAAACAAAATGCAGATGTAGTATACACAGACTTTGCAAAAGCCCTTGACAAGTAAGACCATGGTGTAACAGCGCACAAAATGAGTGATAAAGGAATAACAGGAAAAGTTGGTAGATGGATCTATTATTTCCTAACAGAACACAAAGAGTAGTAGTAAACAGAGTAAAGTCTGAGGCGGCTACGGTGAAAAGCTCTGTTCCACAAGGCACAGTACTCGCTCCCATCCTGTTCCCCATCCTCATGACATAGACAGGGATGTAAGCCACAGTACCGTGTCTTCCTTTGGAGATGATACCCGAATTTGCATGACAGTGTCCTCCACTGAAGGCACTGCAAGACTCCAGGCGGACATCAACCAAATTTTTAAATGGGCCGCAGAAAACAATATGAAGTTCAATGATGAGAAATCTCAATTACTTCGATATGGAAAACGTGAGGAAATTAAAACTGTATCGGAGTATAAAACAAATTCCAACTACACAATAGAGCGAAAAACTAAAGACCTGGGAGTGATAATATCAGGGGATCTCACCTTCAAAGACCACAACATTGCATCAATCGCATCTGCTAGAAAAATGACAGTATGGATAATGAGGACTTTCAAAACTAGGGATGTCAAGCTCATGATGACACTCTTCAGGTCGCTTGTTCTATCTTGGCTGGGATATTGCTGCACACTAACACCACCTTTCAAGGCAGGTGAAACTACTTACCTTGAAAATGTACAGAGAACCTTTACGGCACGCTTAACTGCGATAACACACCTCAGTTACTGGGAACGCTTAAAGTTGCTTAAAGTTAACCCGTAATCGCTAGAACGCGGCGGGAGAGATACATGATTATATGCACTTGGAAAATCCTAAAGGGATTAGTACCAAATTTGCACACGAAAATCACTCCCTACGAAAGCAAAAGACTCGGAAAACGATGCAACATCCTCCGAATGAAAAGCAGGGCGCCACTAGCACGATGAGAGACAGAACAATAAGTGTCAGGAGCCCAAGACTCTTCAACTGCCTCCCAGCATACATAAGGGGGATTACCAACAGACCCCTGGCTGTCTTCAAGAAGGGGCTGGACAGGCACCTAAAGTTAGTACCTGATCAGCCGAGCTGTGGTTCATACGTCGGGTTGCGTGCAACCAACTGTCACAGCCTGGTTGATCAGGCGATGATCCACCATGAGGCCTGGTTACAAACCGAGCCGCGGGGGCGCAGAACAGGGAAACCCTCTCCAGATATACTCCAGGTAATTATGTATAAAAATTAAGGTCAATGAAATATAGGTAGTGTTGTCTTTAGAGTTTTATACTTATGCCATACCATTCTGCACTCTCTTCTCAACCGTAATCTATCTGTACATAAGTTTCATTTTACCAATTCAAGGACCCCCAATGAAAATAAATCACTTTGACTTTTTTGGGTTATCTTAGGTAATCTACACATATACTGTTATGTATGATAATCTATGTAACTGTTTTTATGTGTACCTGTACCTGAATAAACTTAAACTGAATTTATCACGGCTGATACACAGCTACATGTATCCCACACATAGAAGACTGAAACTTACGACAACTTTTCGGTCCGACTTGGACCATTAGTTGGATTATTTTTATTTTCACGACTAAAATATTTTCCTTTTTGTCAATCCCACCAGGTATAGCTGGGGCAAGATCGGTCATGGTAACGATATTAATGTGAAGTTCTAGTGTGAATAGGCAGCTAATTTAAGGCAGCGTGGATATATTGCTCAGCGTGTAGTTTCATTAATAAATATTTTGGAAATACTGACCCCTGAGAAATAGTACTGATGGGTAGCACAGCGTCAGCTGGAGAGGTGGTGGCCAACACGTTATCAGTCGCTGAGGTGGTGCTGAGGGTGCTGTTCAAGAGGAGCGTGAGGTTCCCTGCGCAGCCTTCAGTAGAGAGCGGAAGGCGGACTAGTGACCCGCCGCCTCTCACAAACTTCCCTATAACTAACCACATATTGAAGGAGAAGGAGAAGATGAGACCCACGATGGCGCCCTGAAGTGAACAAAAATGAAAGCGGTCTTAATGTACAGATGGTATTACATACTGCAATCTGAAATTGCTGCAGTAATTTTATTAAACACTTTATTATTAAGATAGTCACATTATTATTATTATTATTATTATTATTATTAATTAAGGGGGAAACACTAAACCCGTAGGATTATACAGAGCCTGTGTGGGGATGTGGAAGGCATTCAGGTTTATTTTGGGGAACTGGAACACATATCCAATTCCCTAGATCAAGAGCCTCTCATCAACATCAAGGAACCTTCCTTGAGGGGTAAGATAGTCATAAAGTTGTGACAAGTTGATATTTAATTCAGCAAGTAAATAACTATGAGGTGACAGATGGTGGTTAAAGGACACTTTCAGCTAATGCGACGTTTCACCCTTTTGGGAGCTCAACCCCTTGGGGGAATATTAAGTATATGGAATACATAAATACCAGTGGTATATAAAAATATGGAGGAACTCAGTCGCTGCTTGAAGTCTGGTGCAGGACACAGATGAGATCAAGTGTGTCTGGTTAGGACATTTTGTTATTAATATGTTGATTTAAGGCTATCTGTGCAATAGATTTAAATAAAATGTGCATCTGTCTTGTTCTATGGTGTTGGAGATGTGGATGGTGGAAATGTCCAGGCACTTTTATTCGGTTTTATAATTTTCTTTGGCAATAAAATGAGATTGTTTCCAGTTTATGATGTGTGAATGTTAGCTCCGGTGCTCATGTATACATTACATGACTTATTCGTTCTGTATACATATTTTTTTCTTGTGGACTAGTATTTAAATCTCTTGTTGTCTTGCCTACATAGAAGCCATCAAACCACTGTAAGGTCTGTTATAGACGCATACACTAATTGTATCCTTGTTGGGATGAAATTTTATGGTGGAAAGAAGAGTAATGTTCATGTTGGGTTTCTGGAGAAGGTACGTTATGGCTACTGCTGTACGTGTAAGTCAGGTGGAAAGTGTGAATAAGAATAGCAACTGCCAGGAGTTATATTTATACAAGTATTGTATTATGCATTACCTTTCTGTTTTAATACGATAAAGAAATTTTAATATATATTATTTACCTTTGCATTAACCCACGGTGCACACATTCCCGAGAAAAAGACACCAGCGAGTGGTCCAGCAATGGATGAAAGGATGCTATTTGACACGTGGTAGATGCCTCCCATCTTCTCCACCAACAGACTCAAACATACAGCTAACATTCCAGTTATTAAAGCTGAAATAAAGGAGTGAATTTTCAAGCTGGTTATGCAATAAATGGCTTTAGTCTCTACTATTAGGAGACTCGAAAAGAAAATCTCACACCTCAGATTGGAGGTATTGTATTACTTATCCTTTCACTATGAAAATCATCAATAAGCCCTTATAAATAAACTACAGACTTTGGCCAGTGCTAAGACTCTTGAGTAGCTCTCGGAGGTTCTTAGCAACTGCTGACAGAATGAAAAAGATGGGGGACTGTGAAGCTTTTTATTAGCAAAAACAAGGCAGGAACACATGAAGCAGCTACTCTGACATACATGACATTTTACCAGTTTACTGCAACAAATAGCAAAGTTTACCTAAAACACCACTCACCCATCATAGTTTTCTTGCCATGTGTGAAAGCCAAAACTAAAGTTTAACAGTCCTGGCTGATAGCGTCCAGGCAAGAAAATATGAGCAAGTTTAACATAGTGTGATGCTTACTATAAGACTGTAAGGATATTTAATGTGTTTTAGTAAATATATGTTCTCGGTGTAGATTATACGCGGAATTCTTTGAATTTCCTGCTGCCCACGAGGCTGCAGCATGGTGATGAGAGGAATGAAGTATTCTATCAGTATTCCAGTAGCACCTTCAAAATCAACATTTGAAAAATTTTATTGTTACAAATCAGGTATATAATGACGACAAACTGATGAGTGACACTTATGCAATGTTAAGTAAGTTTATTATGGGAATTTTTGTCTCACCAGGCGCTGTATGAATCAAATAAAGAAATCGAAAAAAAAAAGAGGGGAATAAACAGAAGCGTGAATGTCAGTTAAGCTTAGGAGGACAGTGTCCCCATAGCCTAAAATCCATGTACCCAAACTCTGGATATAATGAAGTTCTCATGTTCTGCAACTGTACTGCCAAGGTCAATGAGAGCAATACTTACAGAGGAGCTTGACAACGTTGGTGGCGCTGGCATCACTGAGGCGATGGAAGTAAGGGCGATCCTTCAAGAAGTCTTCCCAGATTATACAAGCGAACGAGTTGCCACAGGACGATAGTGTACTGTTGGAAGATACAGATGTTCAGGGTCATACAATGTATTGATTGTGGGTAGAGTAACCTCTATGTTGAGGAATCCTGAAGGAACAACATGGATTTGTTGACTCGCACACATTTTGTGATTTTTTAAAATGAATATTTGGTTCTGGAATGCCAATTCCAGAACCAGATATTCGAATGTGACGAATATTCGTCAAATATTCGTCCAGTCACAGCTTGAATTCCATTGAATGGACGACAACACCTTTCAGCAATCAACTGATTAAAACTGGACAAATGAATGAGTGTAGCAAATAAATGTACTGGTCACTGTTTCGGCTTTATATTTATCTGTCAAAATACAAAAAAAATATTTTAATGTTTGCTTCATTTCGTCTGGTATCATGAAATGTTTATTAATCAATTCTCAAGGTTCTCAGAAAGAATAAAAATAATTATCTTTTTTGATGAGGCAGTTCTGGTAAAGATGATAAGATGAATATGAATATTTTATATTTTTTTTACCAAGCAGTAATAAAAAACATTTTAAAAGGTTCATAACTATGTAACATTAGCAGATTTTATTATAACTTAGGCTTTTACATGAAAATATGTTAAAATATGTTTTTGTAGAGTATGCTAAATCCATGCGAGAATATTCAACTGTGTAAGGAGTTTACATTTTTTAGCAAAACGTACGCAACAAGTTAACGAATAAAGATAATGCCAGAAATTAGAGATTTAAAATACGAGGAAAGACTGAAGATAATATTGTTGCCGTTGTTAGATGACAAGGAGTAAAGGTAATACTATAACCATCCATTAGTTCAAGAGAAGCTATGAAAAACAGACATGGAAGATATCTTGAAATTAGTAATGGATAAGGGCAAGAACACAACATAATGTAAAAGTTAGCATAGTGTATAATGCACAACTATGTAAGTGAGGACCTACCTGAGTACACTGCCATATACACCAGCAACGAAGATGCCGGCCATGCCTGTCAGGTGACTCAACTTGTCCATCACTAAGAACGGGATAATCTGATCAGTCTTCTTTATCTTGCCCGAGGTCAATGGGTCACAGTCACTATAGCTGGCATAAGCTACAAGTCCGGAGAAGTAAAAGACTATCCACAGCATGTACAGTCCCACCACGAATGCATAAAGTAATCTGCAGAGTACAACATCTTGATAATTTATGACAGTGTGCGTGTATTTACCTTGATATATATATACTGAGTTCTGGAATTTAGACTCGACTCCTAAAGTTTCTGTTGACTGATGCGGAAAATATATTTACATGCTGAAATTTTTACGAAGGACAGAATTACCAGATTTACATAACGAAGTATATACCAGTGACTTATTTAATCAGAAATATACCAACTCTTTGCATTCTGCTGATGAGGATCCCAAATCGAGATCGAAATACACATGCCACTATTCTTCTCTTTTTGTTTACATATGAGTTATTTCTAACAGTGACAAATTTTTCTTGACACGACATATATATATATATATATATATATATATATATATATATATATATATATATATATATATATATATATATATATATATATATATATATATATATATATAATTATAATATAATATATTATATATATATACGCAGTACTTTATCCACATATTGTTTACTGTTAAAAATTACCTTTGTGATATTTGAAGTGTCCTGACGGAGGCAAACCTCTGGTATGTAATTTGAGTAAAGCCAACTCCGTTCACCATGATGAAGAAACCATATACCAAAGTTGACCAGAAGGTGTGGCGCTCGTAGGGACTGGTATCAAAACTGAAGATGAAGTACAGAAAATATTTAACTGGCACGAGCTTCAATGAGTACGGATGTGTTGTAATGTGAAAGTGATCCAAAATGAATGTTTAAAAAGAAAACGCTGGTAAACTCACTTAAAAAACTGAATGCGACCTCCATGGTCAGCGATGGACCACACGTTGCCAACACCGCCCAGGTCGATGCAACAGATAATGACCACCACCAACACACCACAGAACATCATCAACGTCTGTAATACATCAGTGTACACCACTGCCTTCACGCCTCCCTGAGATACAAAGTTATAAGTTAGCAGTGTGTTTGTCATTTCAGTCAGAATGCTGGCATGGCAAGTAAGGAGAGTCAAGCATTATGAACAACAATGGGGGATTATTCTACTGATGTTTAACATGAGCATATAACTATGACCTTTAACTAACTTAATCTGAACAATGATTTTTACCAGATTATTTACATCCATATAAGTAAAGTTTCGAAATATTTTATTACTTGAGCTCAAAACTTGCACAGTGATATTTCCATTAATGATTCAGGTTTATTGACCGTAGTTGTATTCAGAAACAAAAGTTCAATATTAAAGCTAATTGTCTTTCTGATTTATCATCTATTGATTACAGAAAACAGTTTCAGCTAATATCGTTCCATTAACATCAACTCTTCTCTTCACTATCACCTCGCACACCATCTTCCGCACCTCAGTCATATACCGCTAAATGACATGGGATTAACATTTCCCAGGAATATGATAATTATATGGAGTACAGTGACAGACTGTTGTAAACAGTGACACAGATTGTTCATTATGACTGGCAAGATATGTCTCACATTAAGTCACTGATTCTGTGTTTATTTTTCCATGACATATCGTTGAGAGGTATGAGAACATATGTACTATGCAAGCTTTAAGGGCTATTGGATAGGACAGTTGGGTCATAGATGGTGAAAGTTAAGAACTGCTGTGTGTAAAACTTTCCTATAGTAAGCCTCATAGTTCACTGATACAGACCTGGATCTGCTACCAGTTATGACCACAGTTCGAGTCCCTGGTCAATTAGCAAAAACTTATTTAAAATTAAGTCCCGTCTAAAATTTTCTTTTATACGTTTAAAGATATATTTTATTCATTTATGTTAGTGTAAAAATTAATAATTTTGTACAAGAAGAACCTTAGAAAACTTACCTAACCTTATTATAACAAGCGCAATTTAATTTAGCCAACTCCAACTAAATATATTTTAGATAAGTTTACAATAATTTAATAATAAACAAACACAATAAAATATATTTTTTTTCGTTAGGTTCAAAATGATTTTAGCGAAATTACTGCATGCACAAATTTTCGCTTGTCTTATTCGGCAAGAAGACCGTTGCTATTTAAGCCAAAATCGCAAGTTTTACCTATTCGTCACGATATATATATATATATATATATATATATATATATATATATATATATATATTATATTTATATATATATATATATTTTTTTTTTTTTTTTTTATTATCACACTGGCCGATTCCCACCAAGGCAGGGTGGCCCGAAAAAGAAAAACTTTCACCATCATCATTCACTCCATCACTGTCTTGCCAGAAGGGTGCTTTACACTACAGTTTTTAAACTGCAACATTAACACCCCTCCTTCAGAGTGCAGGCACTGTACTTCCCATCTCCAGGACTCAAGTCCGGCCTGCCGGTTTCCCTGAATCCCTTCATAAATGTTACTTTGCTCACACTCCAACAGCACGTCAAGTATTAAAAACCATTTGTCTCCATTCACTCCTATCAAACACGCTCACACATGCCTGCTGGAAGTCCAAGCCCCTCGCACACAAAACCTCCTTTACCCCCTCCCTCCAACCCTTCCTAGGCCGACCCCTACCCCGCCTTCCTTCCACTACAGACTGATACACTCTTGAAGTCACTCTGTTTCGCTCCATCCTCTCTACATGTCCGAACCACCTCATATATATATATATATATATATATATATATAATTTTTTTTTCAGCACACCGGCCGTATCCCACCAAGGCAGGGTGGCCCAAAAAGAAAAACGAAAGTTTCTCTTTTTAAATTTAGTAATTTATACAGGAGAAGGAGTTACTAGCCCCTTGCTCCCGGCATTTTAGTCGCCTCTTACAACACGCATGGCTTATGGAGGAAGAATTCTGTTCCACTTCCCCATGGAGATAAGAGGAAATAAACAAGAACAAGAACTAGAAAGAAAATAGAAGAAAACCCAGAGGGGTGTGTATATATATGCTTGTACATGTATGTGTAGTGTGACCTAAGTGTAGGTAGAAGTAGCAAGACGTACCTGAAATCTTGCATGTTTAAGAGACAGAAAAAAGACACCAGCAATCCTACCATTATGTAAAACAATTACAGGATTCCGTTTTACAGTCACTTGGCAGGACGGTAGTACCTCCCTGGGCGGTTGCTGTCTACCAACTTACTACCTACACACACACACACACACACACACATATATATATATATATACATATATATATATATATATATATATATATATATATATATATATATATATATATATTATATATATATATATATATATATATATATATATATATATCATTGGTAGTTAATTTCCTATAATGACAATCATAACACTGTGACTAAAAGTAATACTCACAATAGTTATATAGAAGGTGCAGATAGTTCCCATGATGAGCGAGGAGGCCCAGGTGGAGAGTCCAGTGACTGTAGTCAGTGCTAGTGTTGGAGCGTATAGACACATGCCCATGTAGAGGAAGTTATTGAGCAACATAGTCAAAGTTGACAGTGTCCTCAACCAGCGCGATTTGAACCTCAGTAGTATATACTGCAATATTTATCAACAATTATACTGAAGGACCAGAGGACATTAGGAACCTTTTAATACTTAGTCTTATACAAGAATTTTGTAGGAATTTGTAATTTCAATAAAGAAAACATGAGAAAGAATATTTAATAAATCCAGCAATTTACCTCATTGATGGAGACGACTTTGAGCTCATAGAGAATCGGAAGAATGACATGACCAACAAAGAGAGAACCCGGGATGCAACCTAATAAAACAGTAGTGAGCTGTGTGCCGTAGAAATACATCTCGGTGGGGTTACCTGCAGGAGATTCTTGTTATTGGTAGACCGAGAGACTCGTAGTAACGAACACTCAACTCCAGCACATTGCTGCCTTACACAAACAATGGCATGTTGTTATTAAAGTTGTAATAATAGTGTATACAACACTGAAAGCTTGGTTCTCTGCAACAAATGTAATGTTACATGCAACTTGTATATGGTAACACAGAGAAGTACAGGTAATGTGTACGATAACTTCCTTACTACACTTTCCAATGAAGTGTTTGTCGATATTACACATTCCAAAAAATATATTTAATCTATAAAAGCACTAACCATCTTGGAGAAGCTGGTCAGTGTATTTGTATTTGATTGTAAATGAAAGCAAGTGAAATTACTGAATTTGAATCCAAAGAAATATAATTTTAACTTAGTCTAAATTCCATGTCAAATTAAAATTAGTTTCAATGGAATATATATATATTGAGAGTCCAGGTAGTAGGTTGGTAGACAGCAACCACCCAGGGAAGTACTACCGTCCTGCCAGGTGACTGTAAAACAGAAACCTGTAACTGTTTTGGATGATGGTAGGATTGCTGGTTTCTTTTTCTGTCTCATAAACACGCTAGATAACAGGGATATCTTGCTACTCCTACTTACACTTTGGTCACACTTCACAGACACGCACATGCATATATATATATATACATACATCTAGGTTTTTCTCCTTTTTCTAAATAGCTCTTGTTCTTCTTTATTTCTTCTATTGTCCATGGGGAAGTGGAAAAGAATCTTTCCTCCGTAAGCCATGCGTGTCGTATGAGGCGACTAAAATGCCGGGCTAGTAACCCCTTCTCCTGTAGACATTTACTAAAAAAGAGAAGAAGAAAAACTTTATAAAACTGGGATGCTTGAATGTGCGTGGATGTAGTGCGGATGACAAGAAACAGATGATTGCTGATGTTATGAATGAAAAGAAGTTGGATGTCCTGGCCCTAGGCGAAACAAAGCTGAAGGGGGTAGGGGAGTTTCGGTGGGGGGAAATAAATGGGATTAAATCTGGAGTATCTGAGAAAGTTAGAGCAAAGGAAGGGGTAGCAGTAATGTTGAAGGATCAGTTATGGAAGGAGAAAAGAGAAAATGAATGTGTAAATTCAAGAATTATATGGATTAAAGTAAAGGTTGGATGCGAAAAGTGGGTCATAATAAGCGTGTATGCACCTGGAGAAGAGAGGAATGTAGAGGAGAGAGAGAGATTTTGGGAGATGTTAAGTGAATGTATAGGAGCCTTTGAACCAAATGAGAGAGTAATTGTGGTAGGGGACCTGAATGCTAAAGTAGGAGAAACTTTTAGAGAGGGTGTGGTAGGTGAGTTTGGGGTGCCAGGTGTAAATGATAATAGGAGCCCTTTGATTGAACTTTGTATAGAAAGGGGTTCAGTTATAGGTAATACATATTTTAAGAAAAAGAGGATAAATAAGTATACAAGATATAATGTAGGGCGAAATGACAGTAGTTTGTTGGATTATGTATTGGTAGATAAAAGACTGTTGAGTAGACTTCAGGATGTACATGTTTATAGAGGGGCCACAGATATATCAGATCACTTTCTAGTTGTAGCTACACTGAGAGTAAAAGGTAGATGGGATACAAGGAGAATAGAAGCATCAAGGAAGAGAGAGGTGAAGGTTTATAAACTAAAAGAGGAGGCAGTTAGGGTAAGATATAAACAGCTATTGGAGGATAAATGGGCTAATGAGAGCATAGGCAATGGGGTCACCTAGGTATGGGGTAGGTTTAAAAATGTAGTGTTAGAGTGTTCAGCAGAAGTTTGTGGTTACAGGAAAGTGGGTGCGGGAGGGAAGAGGAGCGATTGGTGGAATGATGATGTAAAGAGAGTAGTAAGGGAGAAAAAGTTAGCATATGAGAAGTTTTTACAAAGTAGAAGTGATGCAAGGAGGGAAGAATATATGGAGAAAAAGAGAGAGGTTAAGAGAGTGGTGAAGCAATGTAAAAAGAGAGCAAATGAGAGAGTGGGTGAGATGTTATCAACAAATTTTGTTGAAAATAAGAAAAAGTTTTGGAGTGAGATTAACAAGTTAAGGAAGCCTAGAGAACAAATGAATTTGTCAGTTAAAAATAGGAGAGGAGAGTTATTAAATGGAGAGTTAGAGGTATTGGGAAGATGGAGGGAATATTTTGAGAAATTGTTAAATGTTGATGAAGATAGGGAAGCTGTGATTTCGTGTATAGGGCAAGGAGGAATAACATCTTGTAGGAGTGAGGAAGAGCCAGTTGTGAGTGTGGGGGAAGTTCGTGAGGCAGTAGGTAAAATGAAAGGGGGTAAGGCAGCCGGGATTGATGGGATAAAGATAGAAATGTTAAAAGCAGGTGGGGATATAGTTTTGGAGTGGTTGGTGCAATTATTTAATAAATGTATGGAAGAGGGTAAGGTACCTAGGGATTGGCAGAGAGCATGCATAGTTCCTTTGTATAAAGGCAAAGGGGACAAAAGAGAGTGCAAAAATTATAGGGGGATAAGTCTGTTGAGTATACCTGGTAAAGTGTATGGTAGAGTTATTATTGAAAGAATTAAGAGTAAGACGGAGAATAGGATAGCAGATGAACAAGGAGGCTTTAGGAAAGGTAGGGGATGTGTGGACCAGGTGTTTACAGTGAAACATATAAGTGAACAGTATTTAGATAAGGCTAAAGAGGTCTTTGTGGCATTTATGGATTTGGAAAAGGCGTATGACAGGGTGGATAGGGGGGCAATGTGGCAGATGTTGCAGGTGTATGGTGTAGGAGGTAGGTTACTGAAAGCAGTGAAGAGTTTTTACGAGGATAGTGAGGCTCAGTTAGAGTATGTAGGAAAGAGGGAGATTATTTCCCAGTAAAAGGGGCCTTAAACAAGATTGTGATTCACCGTGGTTTTTTAATATTTTAAATTTGGGGGGGTAAAGAAAGTAAAAGCGAGGGTTTGGCAAGAGGGGTGGGTTAAAAATAAAGAATCACACAAAAGTGGGGTTGTCACAGTTGCTCTTTTTCTGAGACACTGTGCTCTTGGAGATTCTGAAGAGAAGCGCAGAGGGTTGGGAAAATTTGGGAGGCTGTGCAAAAGAAGAAAATTAAAAAATGAAAAAGGAAAGAGTAAGGTAATGAGGATAACAAAAAGATTAGTATGAAAGATTGGATATCAATTGGAGGGAGAGAGTATGAGGAGGTGAATGTATTCAGATATTTTTGGGGGTGGACGTGTCTCGGTGGGGTTATGAAAGAAGGTAAACTAAATTGATAGGGGAAAAGGGTGAGCGGGTGCACTTTTGGGGTCTGTGGAGACAAAGAACTTTTTCCTTGGGGCAAAGATGGGGAAAGTATGGACATAGTTTTACCAACACTCTTTAGGGTGAGAAGCATGGGGGATGAATTTGCAGGGGGAAAAGGGTGGAGGGAGTGGGGAATGTCAGTCTGAGGGCAAAGTGTGGTGTAATATAAAGCAGAAATTTGTAGTTTGGAAGTTGGAGGAGGTGCGGGGTTACCCCAAACTGTTGCCAGAGGGCGAGGAAGGGTTTTTGAGGGGGTTCGGACATGAGAGAGAAGGAGGAAACAAGTGACTTCAAAAGTGTATCAGTTGTAGTGGAAGGAAGGCGGTAAAAGGGGGCGGTCTAGGAAAGGGAGGAGGGGGGGGTAAAGGAGGGTTTTTTGTGCAGGGGCTTGGACTTCCCCCAGGCATGCGGAGGTGTTTGATAGGATGAATGGAACAAATGGTTTTTAATATTGACGTGCTGTTGGAGTGTGAGCAAAGTAACTTTATGAAGGGAACCGGAGGCCGGACTTGAATCCTGGGATGGGAAGTACGTGCCTGCACTCTGGGGGGGGTGTTAATGTTTCAGTTTAAAAACTGTAGTGTAAAGCACCCTTCTGGCAAGACAGTGATGGAGTGAATGAAGGTGAAAGTTTTTCTTTTTCGGGCCACCCTGCCTTGGTGGGAATCGGCCAGTGTGATAATAATATATATTTATTATTATTATTATTATTATTATTATTATAATAATAATAATCATAATAATAATAATAATAATAATAATAATAATAATAATAATAATAATAATAATAATAATAATAATAATAATAATAATAATAAATATATATTGAATTTAGCTATTATCACCACTCAGATTTTTTTCTTCAGGGATTGGTTGAGTATTCATTAATGTCAACAAGACTGACACTCAGGACGGCTGCTGCTCAGGAGTCATAATAATTGCCCAATCAAATCAATAGTTATCAGATGAATAGTTATCAGATAACTATTTGTTGCCAACTGGCTGACTCTTGTTACCAGCTGGCTACTATTTGTTACTAGCTGGCGGCTATTCCAAGTTCTAACTTGCCATAGTGAGTAGTAGAAATTATATTAATTTATTTAGAGTCATAACCTTTTATTTAGAGTCATAACCTTTTATTTAGAGTCATAACCTTAATGTATGAACATGAAAAATAGTCACCAAAGTGTAATCGTCAGAGGCTCCACCTCATGTCCGACCATTATTTTGTTATTCTCAGTTTGACCTACCCGCCCTCTAATAGCCCACGGCCCTAAACAAAAATCCCAGAAACTCAGACTGAGTGAATCAAGCAATTGTGTTTTCACACTGACCTAAAACTGATATTGCAGAGATCCAGCCTCCTAATAGAGAGAAGACCACTGGTACCGGAGACATGGTTCTTCCTCCCAGCAGGTACTCCTGTGTGGAGGCTTTACCTCGGCTCTTGATGGCGCTAACCACACCGATGGCAGCTGACGCCACCAACAACAGGCTGAAGATCGCATAGTCAACGGGGGTGAACTTCGTTATTACTGGGTTTTCTGTCGCTTCCATCCTAGTGCCACGTATTTCTGAAAATATACACTGGTCAACAACAACAAAAAAAATAATTGCCAAAGATACTTGAACGTATTTAGGGTATTGTGGCGTTGCTGAATTCGAAAATGGCAAAAGGTTTTTCAAATTGGCTGTAGTTTGTGAGATATTGCATACCTAGCGTCAATTAACAAGCTGAAACGCTTTTATATGCGTATGTAGTGACAATTTGCATATACAGATAGTTTTACCAAAGATTAGAATTTTATTTTTAAATTATTTAATAGTTCTCTAAAGGAGTTTTATCAGCAGATAGACACGAGTTCTTCACGCAGAGCCTGCTTAACCAATCCCAGTGCATTTTACTACATTTGTGGCAAAATATTCCTTGCAAAAACAAAAAACAAAAATAAAAAATTTTGTGAAACAAGCTTATCTTGCAAAAACTCGTGTAGAATGCTTACGACAGTGGAAAAATAGGCAAAAGAAAAGTTTAAACTTTGGTGTTCCTATGGTATGGAGAGAGCTGACAAACCACCACTACAATTATTTCTGTATGGTGAATATAAAACGTTTCAAAAGATACAAGAAAGTCAAGCGAGAATATCCTGATATGGAGTCAGCAAGGAGACCTGTGCCACACAACGAAGACGTTCCCATACCAGTGTTTACAACACTGCCTGTCCTTCTGTTGTCAGATGCTGAAGAAACTCAGGGTTTTGGATGTAACCCAGGCGATAGCTGTGGAAGTGAATATGAATTGAGCATTTCAACACCCCATCAGTTCTCCCAAGAAGAACTCAATGACCTGATCCGTGACCTCACTCTGTCAAAGCAAGCATCTGACCTTTAATCATCCAGACTAAAAGAAAAGAACTGTCTACAACAAGGAGTTAAAATAACGGCTTATTTGAAAAGAGAGGTTGAATTCCTTCCTTACAGAAATGTCAATCTCAATCTTAAAATAATGAATCCCAACTAGTCATAAGTTGGCCTGTGATACTCCAATACTGAAACTATGTATTGTGCCAAAACAAAAACATTCACATTGCTAAACTCACAAACTAGTATTTAGTCAGCCATAATACCAACTTACCTCATAATTTGTAATATTTTAAATTTAAGAATTAATCTAAGTCTCCCCGAAATGCCTAGCCATGCTAGGTGTTCTAGTGGTACACTCTGTAATTATTATTTTACTACATGTAAACCACATAATAACCAAATTCTGTAAACTCAGCATTGTAATCCTTATAGAGAATAAACTTTGAATTGAATTGAATTAAGAACTTGTATATTGCAATAACATCTCTGGACTTCTTCGAATGGGACTTGAATATCGTCTAGGAGATTGGTGGCTGTTTATAGACAACTCCATTAGAAGCTTGAAATGTCTTATTGCACCACAGTAACCAATATATTTTTCTTCCAATTGTTCATTCAACAAAACTGCGCTGATGATAAACATAGAAGAAAATCGTGCAAAGAAAGTTTTCAAAAACAGTAATTAGTGATATCTGAATAATCTTACTATGTTATTATATAGAATTAAGTGGTAGTATGTATTTGACTTTTGCATGATCTAAAAAATAATTGCAATAATATTTGTAAGTTAACCCCGCCTCATCAATACATTTTTTACATTTTTATGTTTTCAGTGGTATATCAAATTTATAAAAAACTAGAGCCAATCATGCAAAACAGCACCACAAATTTACCCTAAAATCTGTGTAATATCATTGGCCAGAAAATGAGTGTTGACCAGTGAATTCAACAAATTTAGAAAGCAATGAAGTCTAAAGCAAGAACTTAAAACACAATTAGATTCATTAGTTGAAATGTGAGTGTTTATAATAAACCGAAGGATCAATTTTTATATTATTGGTAAATATGAAGACAATGAGACGAGTTTCTAACTATTTACTGGAAGTTATTACTCTGTGTAGATCTCTTTAATAGGTTAACCTAACTAGTGAATATATAGAGATGATCTTGGTTGTACAAAGTAAGGTAATACAAACAAGAATATCCAAGAAGGCAAATACGTATAGTAATGACATTTATTAAAGGAAACGTTTCGCTTAAATTGGTTTCTTCAGTCTTAATACAGAGGCAGCTAAGAGTCGAGATGGTAGTCAGCTGTGAGTAGTGGTATCGTGTAAATAGAGGGTACCACGTGATGGTGTGCATAAGGTGGTTTCACTGGTGGGTGTGATCATGTTGGACAACAGTTTAATTGCCAAATTCTTGGAGATGTTGATGCTGCAACATATCTGGGGATGGTGTTGTAGACTGTTACAAGGGAGGCTTTCCAAAACCTTTCCTTGTCCTCGAGATAGATGGCCAACTTCACCAAAAATCTTTAAGGGAGAAAATTAAGACGACGTTTCGGTCCATCTTGACCATTGTCAAGTTGACTCGACAATGGTGCTGAAGGGGCCGAAACGTTGTCATAAGTTTCCTCTCCTAAGTGCGGATCTTTGGTTGTTCCCGCCAGGGAACAACCAAAGATACAACCAAAGACTTTCTATTCTTTCTAGATGGTCAATATCCCTACTTAAATGTCCTAATCTTTAAAGTGTACAAAAAATTCATCAAAATAAAGAAGAATTGATCGCTAGCGCACTCAGCTTACACACTAAGGTCCAGAGATCGAATCTCCGGTACGGCTGGAAAACAGTAGACACGTGTTTCAATAAAACACGTGCTGTCACTGTTCAACTATCAGTATAAAATGGGTACCTGGGGGTTAGTGGACCGGTGTGGGTCGCATCCTGGGACAAAACCGACCTAATTTGCCCTAAATGCTCTGCATAACAAGAAGCTTTCTCTATAGTAGTATGTTATTGATGTCAGCTAGGCCTGTATACCTTGTACATATACTTGTAGAAATAAAGATATTATTATTATTATTATTATTATTATATTATTATTATTATTATTATTATTATTATTCATTTCTACCCTCGCCGGATCAGTAGGTATTGGTTTCTTCGAAAGCTTTCCGAATCTGAAGTCCTGCTTTCCTCCAGGAGTACAAGTATATTCTCCAAATGTTTATGCGACTTCAGTTCACTGCCTTCTTCATATACGAGTGTAGACGACGGATAAAAGGAACAAACTGACAAGAGGTACATAGTATTTTCTTGCTGTGATGTAAATGGGTTAAAACAGACAAGCTGAAGAATGAGACACTTGTGAAACATTAAGGAAACGATTCGCAAGCCTTTGGCTTCTTCACTCCAATACAGAGAAGAACGGAGAAAGATGTACAGCATATCCTATACTTTTATCAAGACTGATGGACTGAACTCATCGACTCCAGGTTGAGGGACTGATTACCTCAAACTCCTCTTTATCCTTCTCCGTTCTCCTCAGTATTGGACCGACGAAGCCACTGGCTGGCGAAATATTTCCACACTAAAGATTTCCAAATGTTGCACAAGTGTCTAACGCTTCATCTTTCCATGCTGCAGTGTAGCAAACAATATGTCACATGCAATGGTTAGAAGCAACATTCAGTTAGCTTCCACTGCGTCCACAACCTTTAAAGAACTCGCTAGGAAGCGACAATATGAACAATGTGTGTGAGGTCTTCAGAGATTTTGGACTAGTACAATTATCTTCTTCGAGCCAAAACACAACAGAGGCCGTTTTTTTTTTTTGGGGGGGGGGGGGGGGAAATCTATGATTAGCAAGTACTATCACACAGAGCAGAAGGTACATACAACAATGCCACCACACTAACATATAATGATTGAACAAGCCTCACTCCGCCTACCACCAGATACGGTCGTAAGATGACACAAAAGAACATAAGAACGGAGAGGCACTACATAAGACCTACTAACGCATACTAGAAGTGTCCTTCTTAAACCCAACCCTTCTTACTCACTTCTCTTAAAGCCATATATTTTTTTTTCGGTCTAACCTCGTTGCTCCCTAGGTGCCTTCCTATTTATTTAAGCCTATGTCATCCTATCCGCATATACATTAAAGAGTGTCCAAGGTCCTGGAACCGGAAGGTTCCTAATAAGATGTCGTAGAGTTTTAATTTAGTGTCTTTTTTTTACCTATCAATCTAATACAGTCACGAGGACGGAGACTTTATAATGGAGTAAATGGAAGAGTTGGAGAAACGCAGAATCTGTAAACGTTGTTACATATGGGCGAGGCCCATCTAATACAGTCAATCTAATACAGTCACGAGGACGGAGACTTTATAATGGAGTAAATGGAAGAGTTGGAGAAACGCAGAATCTGTAAACGTTGTTACATATGGGCGAGGCCCAATAGTTTAAATAGATCAGGCCCATAAGGTTAGCTAGAGTATAAGCAACGGAGTTACGAAAGACATTATCAAAACCTAAATTAAACAGGGTAGCTTCGTCAGACAAGTATCATCAGATCAAAGGTATAAAATATCGAAAGTTGATGAATAAGACACGTGTATCATACCTGGGTATCTTTATTGAGAGACACAACAAATTTAAGTGTTGTATGAGAGAGCAGACACTAGTGTGTGTGTGTGTGTGTGTACTCACCTATTTGTACTCACCTATTTGTGGTTGCAGGGGTCGATTCACAGCTCCTGGCCCCGCCTCTTCGCTGGTTGCTACTAGGTCCTCTCTCTCCCTGCCCCATGAGCTCTATCATACCTCGCCTTAAAACTATGTATGGTTCCTGCCTCCACTACATCACTTTCTAGGCTATTCCATGGCCTGACTACTCTATGACTGAAGAAATACTTCCTAACATCCCTTTGATTCATCTGAGTCTTCAACTTCCAATTGTGACCTCTTGTGTCTGTGTCCCATCTCTGGAACATCCCGTCTTTGTCCACCTTGTCTATTCCGCGCAGTATTTTATATGTCGTTATCATGTCTCCCCTGACCCTCTTGTCCTCCAGTGTCGTCAGGCCGATTTCCCTCAACCTTTCTTCGTAGGACAATCCCCGTAGCTCTGGGACTAGTTTGTTGCAAACCTTTGCACTTTCTCTAATTTCTTGACGTGCTTGACTAGGTGTGGATTCCAA